TAATAAAAGATATTGTTTCGTCACACGACAATTTCAAGTCAAAGAAATAATTTTTCGTAGATTTTGCGCGGATTCGGGATGCGTCGGGAAAGTTCGGACTGACGCCGTGGTGATTCAACTTCGGGTCGATTCGGCAGAGATCGGACGAGTCCGCTGGATACCGAGTAGTGAGAGAGAGATTTTGCTCGATCTCGCCCGAATTTTTCCGACTCATTTCGAACTTTTGAATCCTTACAAATTCCGCGCATTTTTAATTTTTTCTAAAAAGAAACGTGAAAAGTGTATACTTGTGATCGTTTGAATTAATCGCGTCTGATTCTCAATGCTAATAAAAATGTATCTTTTTGTGATTTCAGGTTTACCAATTTTTGTGTTTCGTTCGAGCTATCTCTGTAACAACTGCGGAAAAACGTATAAGTGGAAAGAGTCGTTGAACTTGCACAAGCGCATGGAATGCGGTATCGAGCCACGATTCTGTTGCAAAATCTGCGGGAGAAGATTTAAGCACAAACACCATCTCACGAAGCATCACAAATCGATCCATAATTACGTCGATCAGTGATGATCGATTAATTGACCTAATTAAGAACATTTGAAGGAAAATGACATTCTCTCGTTCGAGTCTAATAATTTATTGTTGATAGTGTAAATCGATCTCGAAGATATTTTACGCGATTAATTTGGAATGAAAACTCAAACTGAGAAGAGTCAAGTGGAAAGTTATATATTTTGAAAGCGTTTAAAAAATTTAACAAGACATTATATTGTATCGAGTACAATACAATTACTAGCAAAAGCGTTTCGATAGGATACTAAATCATCGTAATTAGAGCGGAGTAAAAAAAGAATGAAAACGAATTAAGCAATAAACGAAAATACATAAAAGTATTTCTTTACCAATTCGCCACATCGATGTAATGATTTTTTAAAACAGCCGCATGCTCTCGCTACGCTAAAATTTCTTCCGACTCATTCCCATAGTTGCTCGAAAATCTGTTTACGCTGAATAACGTTCGCATAAAATATATATATAACATAAAACGTCTTTTCGCCTTATGTAACGGGAACACTCGAACATTTGAGAATCTCGTCGCAAATAAATGAAACGAATCGTTAATTCTTGCGACTAAC